TGTAAACTATTTGTAATAAACCTTCTCTGAATCCTGGCATCCAAACAGCGTAAAATATAGGATTTACAAGTGAGTTAGCTAAGAATAGAACTAGCACAGCCATATTAATATGAACATTCATGAAATAAGTGAAGGAAAAGCCAAGATATGCTAAATATATTATCGCTGGTAGAAAACAAAGTAACGACACAAGTGAGACGATAAGCGCAGTACTCGTCAGTTTTCTTTCTCTTCTGGATCTAGAATGGAATTTAGGATGACGACTACATCGTACTTTGATAATAATGAGGATGTAAGATACACAGATAACAAATAGAGAAACTGCATAAAATGGGAGATACAAGTAAGCATTAATTACCTCTAAATAACCAATTTCCCATAGGAAAATTTGGGCGACTTCTCTAACAATAGCTATTAACCAAATGACAATAATTATGGCTCTATAAACCCATTTCCTCACAAAGCGATGCCTGAATGGACAAAATGTTGCGTGTAGCCGTTCTAAAGAGATAGCGATGAGATTTGTAAGGGAAGTGAACGAGAATAAATGTGCAAATGCAAAAGATATATGACGAGACCAAGTAGTCTCTCGTCTGTACTCCCATTGAGGACAGTCTTTCGACATTCTGTTTTCAATCTGTAGCGGCACAGAGACTGCGCCCACCAAGAGATCGACTATCGCCAGATGGATGATCAAATATGTACTCCGCCGCTGTAGCTGCCGCTTCTTCTTCACAAAAACAGCAATGGTGATGATATTAAAGATGAGAATGGCCAGACATTCGACGATGAGGACCACAAGCCATGGAATACACTGAGAAGCTGAGGAGAAAGGCTGCATTTTCTCCGAGCTCTGTTAGCTGCCATAAAAATAACAGAAAAAAGTTCAATTAAAGATAAAATGCAATATGACTTCAATATTCTCAATAAAGAAATATGTCAAATATTGCTTTTTACGCATCTTTAACGTGTTTTGAAGAACTAAGTTTCGTCCATTGACTTAAACTGATCCTCATGTTTCTTTATGCGA